AATAAATTTTAAAAGGGAAAGGAAGTGTAGAGGCACACACTTGGGTGCTTCCGACATCCCTCTTTCTTCAGTCAGTTCAGCAGAGTGGCTGTGTCCTGCACTCACAATGTGCCCAACCCACCACACACTTTCCAGTTTGTGATAGCTACATGTTTCCCCTTGCTACAACCTCATATATTAAGTAATATATGATGAAAAGCATTTTTTACTTATTTATGTATTTGTGTGTGTATGTGTATATCGGTCCAAGTCAGTGGTAGAGGGCCTCTTTCATTCATTATTATCTTTGCTTTGGTTTTTCTCCTTTCTTTCTTCCTTCCTTCCTTCCTCCCTCCTTCTCTTCCCTTCCCTTCCCTTCCCTTCCCTTCCCTTCCCTTCCCTTCCCTTCCCTTCCCTTCCCTTCCCTCCTCCTCCTCCTCCTCCTCCTCCTCCTCCTCCTCCTCCTTCTTTTTTGATTTTTCGAGACAGGGTTTTTCTGTAGCTTTTGGAGTCCGTCCTAGAACTAGCTCTTGTAGACCAGGCTGGCCTCAAACTCACAGAGATCCGCCTGCCTCTGCCTCCCAAGTGCTGGGATTAAAGGCATGGGCCTCAGAGCCACCACCACCTGACTCTCTCCCCCCGCCCCCCGCACCTCCCCCCGCGCGCGTTTGAGGTAGAGCCTCTTTACTGAACTGGAGCTGGAGCTCACCAGCTCAACAATTGGCTAGTCTGGCCATCAATCAAACTCTAGGACTCCTTCAGGCTTTATGGGTGTGTGTGTGTGTGTGTGTGTGTGTGTGTGTTACAGATGTCCCTTGCCACCCCCAGGTCTTTTATGGGTGTTTGGTATCTGAACTCAGGTCCTCATGCTTCAAGCCAAGCACTTTACCCATTGAGTCATCTTCCTAGAAATCCAAAATATTTTATTAGTTCAATAAATATGCAGTGAGGGGGCTGGAGAGATGGCTCAGCGGTTAAGAGCATTGCGTGCTCTTCCAGAGGTCCTGAGTTCAATTCCCAGCAACCACACGGTGGCTCACAACCATCTGTAGTGAGGCCTGATGCCCTCTTCAGGCATGCACGTAGACAGAATATTGTATACATAATAAATAACTAAATAAATGAAATATGCAGTGAAAAACGAGGCACCTCTCCCTCCAATCTGTATTCTTATGTATCTTTTCAGAATGAAATGATCTCTGTTCACACAAAAGTAGTAGGGTTCATGCTTCCCGGATCTTTTTTTTAAGTGTGTGTTCATGGGTTTATGTGTGCAGGTGTGTGTGCTTGTATGTGTATGTATGTGTGCGTGCACACACATGCTTGGAGGCCACGAATGGTCTTGGGAGTTATCTTTAGAAACACCATCCAAAATCTTTGAGACAGGGTCTTTTATCAACCCAGAACTCTCAAGTTAGGATAGGTTGGCTTGCCAGTGACCCCAGGAGCCACTCACCTCTGCCTCCCCGGTCCTGGGATCACACGTGTGTTTCACCACCCCTGGCTTTTCATGCAGGTGCTGGGAGTCGAACTCAGCTTCTTATGCTTGTGAGGCAAGCCCTCCACAATGGTGCTGTCTCCTTAGATTCTTTACTTGATGTTTCCTAACACAAAGGTAGTCTAGTACAGACTCTGTTACATTAAACGGCTTTTCTTTTTCTCTTTTCTCTTGTTTTGATTTTTTTCTTTTCTTTTTTTTCTCATTTCTTCAAGATAAGGTTTCTTTGTAGCTTTGGTGCCTGTCCTGGAACTCACTCTTATAGACCAGGCTGGCCTTGAACTCACAGAGATCTGCCTGCCTCTGCTTCCCAAATGCTGGGATTAAAGGCGTGTGCCACCACCGCACGGCTGTTTTGATTTTTCAAGACAGGGTTTCTCTGTGTAGCCCTGGCTATCCTGGAATTCACTCTGTAGATCAGGCTGGCCCCAAACTCACAGAGAACCGTCTGCCTCTGCCTCCTAAGTGCTGGGAATAAAAGCCTGCGCTACCACTAGCCAGGTGTTTTTTCCTTTTAAAAATAACATATCTAAGAGACACTTTGAAATTGGCTCTTCTGAGGGCCACAAATAAAGATCACCATCAGTTCTTGCTTTGTTCTCTAGCTGGTGGCCCTTCTCTGCCAGAAGGGCTTCCCTGACTTGGCTCCCTGGATTATGCACTCTCCTGGCTTTCCTTCCAGTCCTTCCTGGCTTTGCTGGGTCCTGTTCCTCCCAGCCTCTGAACCATGCCCCTCGGCTCCATCCTTGCCCTTTCCTCGGCCTACACTCACACCCTAGGTGATCTCATCCAGTCTTGTGGCTCCAAGCAACATCTCAATGCTCACACCACACCTCCCGATGTTATCTCCAGCCTGAGTCACAGCCCTAACCCCAGCCTCTTTCATCGATTGCCTTCACGTGCCTCCTTTTGTCTCCCTGTCTACATAGCTGGTGACTCCCTTCTGCCGTCATCCAGGCCAGGATCCAAAACACGGATGTGGTTGCACGTACCACTCAGAGCAGATGCCACGGGCTTTCCCTTCCTTTCCCTCTGAGTCTGACCATGCCGAGCCATGGTCATTACTGGCCCGGGCTACTCTAACAGCCTCCTGCTTGTCTCTCTCCCCTATTCTTGCTTCCCTGACAGTGGCTCAACACAGCAGCCAGGAGATCCAAGTAAAACCAGACAAGGTCCTATTATGAGACTGCCATCACATTTAGAGGAGAAGACCCCCAGCCCTTTGGTATCTGGCACCTTCCTCCCCCACTATCCCCTCCGAAGCTCGTGACTCCAGCCAGCTGGCCTCTTCACTGCCCCGAGCTAGCATCAGACTCATGTTCCACCTCAAAGTACTCGCTGTTCCTTAGTCTCACCCCAGTCAGGTATCTGCCTTGCTTGCTTGCTGACCCTTGTTGAACTTTTGTTCAAATGTCACCTTCCTAAGGTGTCTACCTCAATCACCTGTTCAAATCTCTGGCATGGCGCTTCCAGCTAGGCAGCCTCTTTCCCACCTGGACAACAGAAGAAGCTGAGGTGGATTAGGACTCCTAAGGTAGGTTTTCCTGAATTCATTGCCCGAGAGACCCCACTACAGCATCAGAACATGGAGCAGTTTGGACTTCATAGTCACCAGTCCTTCGTATCCTGAGATGCCGGTCTTTCTTTCTTTCTTTCTTTCTTTCTTTCTTTCTTTCTTTCTCTTTTCTTTTCTTTCCTTTTCTTTTCTTTGAGTCAGGGTTTCTCTGTGTAACAGCCTTAGCTGTCCTAGAACCAGCTCTTGCAGACCAGGCTGGTCTCGAACTCACAGAGATCCGCCTGCCTCTGCCTCCCCAGTGCTGGGATTAAAGGCTTGCTCCACCACCGCCCGCTGGAGTGCTTTTCTTCAGGGCTTACTCTTCAGTTAGAACACAGAAGATTTGAAGGCTAGGAACCTGCTAAGTCACTTAGCAAATGGGTGGGCCTCCCTGGTCACTTTGGAACTCTTAGTGGGAACAAGCCTTTCTTAGTTACAGCTCAGAAGGCCAGGAGGAAGAAGGGTTGGGGCAGGTTCATCAGGGGAATAAAGCATGTCCTGAGGCTAGGTCTTTAAGGGTTTCCTGTGAGCCAGGGAACTTCTAGGACCTTGCACACACTTGCCCCGAAGGCCAGGTCCTTGCTAGCATCTTTAGTCCGGTGGGAAACTCCAAGTGGGGCATTTTCTGCCCATTTTCCAGATGAAGGCAGCAGAGGAACATTGGCTAGCTCGCATTAGGAGGCGTCCACAGGATACAGTCCCTGGTGTCTTCCCCAACCCCCCTGGCTACCCCTCCCATACTTCTTAGTGGGGTATTTTCTCCTCTAGGTTCACAGTTCTTGTCCTTTCATCCCCTGAGCTGCTCGCTGCACTTACTCTGCTTTCTATCTGGAAAACAGCCCCTAACCCCAAACTCCTATTCTTCCCAAAGCAGGACAGACTGCCCTGTGCCTTGTATCTCTCACATGGTCCTCGTCACACGCTCCAGGAGTCAATGGCTTGTGTGCCTCAGCCTTACTCATCTCTGGACTCCAAGGACAGCACTACCCTGCCACACCCTGGATCCCTGCCTCTGCTGAGGACAGGAAGGCATTCCAGCAAGCACCCTGAACCACTCAGATGCGGGCTCCTCAGAAACTCAGCCTGCCCCATGGTGACTTCAGCAGGAAGGCACTTTACTGTCGCCCATGTGTTTGCTCCCTAGCCCTTTCTTTCACCGCCTTGGACTTCCCGTCCCCATTTCTTCTTTCAGTCCAAGGCTGGCCATGATGTGCCACAGAAACACCTTCCTGAGGCATGGAGCTGAACCTTGATGCTGTCACCCCTGGCCCTCTGGCTCCCTTGGTCCAGGATACAAAGTCCCTACTTTCCCGGACCACCGGGCTTCTAACCCTCTCTCGTCCCTTTCTCCTAGTAAAGAAAAATTAAACCCACTAGACTTGATTTAGGAAGCACCCAGATCTCACAGCAGGGGAACACCCGAGCTCCACTCTGGCTATAAGCAAAGGTAGGAAGTCACTGCCAAGGAGCAGAGTGGGGCATCTGTGGGGGAGAATTACTGAGCAAAACCCTCAGGGCTCCCGGGATTCTGGTTCAATTTACTTGATGGGATTATTATTTTTACTTACATTTGTGTGTGTGTGTGTGTGTGCTACCACATGAGAGGAGGTCAGAGGAGAACATGGGAGTTGGTTCTCTCCTACCCTGTGAGTCCTGAAGAATTGAACCCTGGTTGTCAGGATTAGCCACAAGTGCCTTTACCAGCTGAGACATCATCTCCTCAGCCCCACTGACAGGATTCTTACTGTAGGCAGGCCGAGGTGATCTGATACCAAGGATGGAGAACTTTTCTGACTCAGCAGGATTCTTGCTAAAACTGAACCTGGGGTGGGGGGGGGAGGACAACGCCCAAGGTCAGGCTCTACTCAGGGACTCAGTCTGACTCCAGTCCGGTCAAGGCCCATTTCTGCCTTTCTACTAACAACTTTCACTTCTCTGTCTTCAATTCAAGCATTTTTTCTCATCTCAGACCTTCAAAAAATTGTCTTTATTTCCAAAGCCTAAACGTCTGTCTCCTCACCCCCGCCACGGGAAACCCATGTGTCTAGGAAGAGCCTCTAATTTCTCCTTCCTATGCCTGAAGCATTCTGATGACTGGAATGCTACCCCATGGGCCGGGGCAGGGCAGGTGGCTCAGAGAATCCAGGAATTGAGGCAGAAGCCGATCGATGCCCCTTCAACTGGCAAAGAAAAGCCCCTCCTGAAGATGCTCCGTGCACTCTTGGGTCTTCGTCTCTCTCGGTTATAGGGCATCCCAGGGTGTGAACCCGAGTCAGCTGTGGAAATAGTACAGGACAATTGCAACGAATTGCCTCCGGGGCAATCCCTCTGGGCTGCCAAGGAACAACGACGCCCAGTAGTTTGGCCACCCTCCAATACATACACAAGGCGCCCACACCACGACTCCCTCACCCCACACTCTGCACTGGCCACCATCCAGCACCCCGCCACTAGCGGCGGCGCCTTTAAGACTCAGCGGCTCCCCCTGGCGGCCGCTTGCGCTTCCTCCTCCGAGAGCTCTGCTCCAGGCCCCCGCGTGTGCGCGAGCACCGGGGCACAGA